CGAGGAGCAGTTCCGAGCGCTGCTGCGGGAGGTGAGCGCAGCCCTGGCAGATCCAGCGGGCTGGGGAACTGGGGAGCCCCGGGACGCTCTCACCGGTGGCATTGCCACTCGCCCCGGTGGCCCCGGGTCGACCCCGAAGCCACGAGCCGTGGCAGCACCGGGACACAGCCCCGAGGTGTGGTGATCGGGGCTGGAAGCTGTCAACGAGGTGTTTCTGCTGCCTGAAGTAAACACTGTCATCCAACACCTTATCCCGGTGGCCTCTGCTGCTCCCTCACTGTGCCCTGTGCCCTTCTGCTTTGTCTTTCCTTGTCCCTTCTTTTAGCCATTATTTTTAAAGTGTGCCCTGAGATGGGATCACCCAAAGTTCCTACACAGTTCACACTCCATTCCTTTATCAAGGAATCTGTGCTGCTTCCCAGGCCACAGACAGATCTGTCACCCAACCAGCTCCAATGTCACCTGACACTGAGGGGACAGACAGGTTCTTTTAGGGATTCTTGGCAGAATGATGATGGCAGTAAACCATACTTATAATGAAAGGTTTGTTAACAGGATATTATGATTCATATGGTACAGGATGAGTAGAACAGCACAGGATTTCTACAGGCTGAATCAACACAGCTCAACAAGCACTGTAACACTGAGTTTATAATACAACTTCACTGAGGAGTTTGAGATACTCACTCTGTTTAATTTCTAATTGCCTAGATCCTAACTTAAATTAGCTTTCTAATGACCTGGACTCTGCAGAACTGTTCAGTTCTCAATACAAGGTTTGCTGTGTCAATATAACCATCATAATAATGACTTAAACATCAGATAAAAGAACAAGAATCACTCACTCAGCCCTCAGAGGAAGCAGATGATGATGAAGGTGTCCCTGAAGGTCACAGCTCTCACTGTTCAGCAGCAGTTCCAGTCCAAGTTTCCCACTCAGGACTTGATTTTATGGGCAGTGCTGGGTGCTGGCACAGCTCCCTGTTCTGTGCTGAGGTCACCAACACCACTTGGCTGGATATGTCTGGGACCTTCAAGGCCAAGCAAGGAAAGGAGTGATCAGCCTCGTGCCCAAGGACCTTGAGGGGAAGAAGAAATCTGTTTGGTTTGTCTACTTAGTTCACAAGACCTTCAGGGCCTGATAATGAGGGAAAGGGAATGAATACATGACTTGTTTGGTCAGAGTGTGGCTTTTTGCCTCATAAAATGGGTTAGTTATGTTATCCAGGGGTCAGGAGTTGAGGAAACTGTCACAACCTCCTTTCTTCACTCAGAAATGTTATAAACTAATCCCATGGGGGGAATTAAACAGGGAGAGCTGCTTGAATCAGCTGCTAAAACAACTGTTTGCTCTGAAAGGACAGATTAGCCTGTCTCCACCACACTTAGCAGTAATCCCTTCATGACAAGTCTTGTCTCTCTCCCAGCAAACGTCTTTATTTTGGACAATGCTTCTATTGTCAGAACACCAGATGAGTTTAAAAGCCTCTGGTGGCAGTTGAGAGTCAGAATGCCTGAAAGGGCTGAAACCTCACAGCTCCACTTGACACCTCCATAGAAAGACTTCAGTTATTTTTTAAGTCATCCATGAAGAGAAGTGTCTCCAATCCCTCTCAGGCTTTCCAGTTATTTATTGGACTTGTCTTGGCTACAGAAAAACAAGGCACACACTCTGCCTCCCAGAGGTGCCTGAATCAGAAAGAACTGGTTTAAAACAATGAGCTAATTCCTGGAATTGTCTTACTTATCCCTCTTGGTTTTCTAGCAATAATGCTCTGTTGTTTGCTTGCAGATTGAGGCAGAAGTGCAGAGAAGGAAACAGTTAATCCACCAGTCAGTGGAGCGCAGAGCCATCATCTCTGAGTGCTACAGACCAAAACACCCAGAGGTGTACACCCTGCAGGTACTCACTGTGTTTGGGAGCTCTTCTGCACCACTTTTTGCAGTGGAAAAGCCTTTTCTCCTTGGGATTGAAGCCCCTTTCTCCTTGGGATTGCACAATGCTAAAGTTGGATTGAATCAAAACTGTCTTTAAAACTTCAACAGCACAGAATGTTTTACAGGCAAGATTCTGCCTGGCTTCCAGCCAGGAAAGGTTCATTCCATATGGAATCTGGTACAGGCCTTGGCATAGCATTAGTAATTTCAACAAAAAGCATCGCTGCAGCAAACAGGGTTGGTGAGGTCTAATGAACAGCCACAGAAAACAACCTTTATGGGCAATTCTGCTTTGAATTTTCTCATGTTTGCCAGATCCAAGGCTTCCCAGCTAGGTAATTCCCACAGATCACAGTAACACACAAAGAAGTTTACACAGATTTACTCTGTGATCTTTTAGGAACAAGTTCTGCTGTTGTTTGTTGTCATCTTTGTGGGGAAATGCAGTCCCTCTGTTGTGCTAAAGCCATGACAAGAGGTTAAAATCCACAAGGAAAGACTTTGCACGTACCTGTTAGGAATCCATAATGTGAGTTAGGCTCTTTCCTATCATGCCTAGAATAAATCTGGCCAGTTATATTAGAAACTAGACAAACAGCAAGTTGCCTAAACCACCAAGAAAAACACCAGTAACATTTCCTGCCACAGAAGTAACCCAAGTGTGACTCTCAGCCTTGCTCCCTACAGAGTGCAGATTTCCCTGTGGCTCCATGGAATCCATTTCCCTCTTGGGCTGTAAAAGGCTGTGCAGGTTAATTGTGTTTCTGTCTATTTTTACCATCTTTCCCTTGACACCAGGATTCCTTCCTGACCCCAGACTTTCTGGAGATCGTGAGGTACTGCACATCACCAGATGCTCATCTCCAGGGCCTCCTGCACTACCTTGAGTCCTTCTCAGGTAAAGAAAACAACACATCAGTCACACAGATCTCCCCATGTGACAGCTGTTTTCAAGCCCTGTTTTAACAGCTCCTAATTGACACACAGCTGAGACAAACAGGCTGTTTGTTCTGCCTGACAAGGGTCTCTGGAGAGGCAGTGCTGTGCAGCAGTTCTGCTCTGGATCAGAGACTGTTTTCTGCTTTCCCATCCCAGGCTGATGTCTCATCAGAGGCTACAGCTGCAGCAGGGCTGGGGCTGTGCTTGTACCACCTCCTCACCAGGGAGCCCGTGGAAGGAACACTCTTAGCCCAGGGAGCTTGGTTTTCCCTCCCCATGTGCTTTGCTATTTCAGACAATCCCTGTTGGTTAGTCTGGGCTGAAATAGTTTCAGTCTAGATTTCAGACTTTTAAAAAGAGATCTGGGTTTTAAGCTTCCCTGGAGGCAGCTGTGAAGCTCTCTCC